CTTCTGTCTCCTTTTGTCTCCCTTCTTGTTTCTCTTCTTGTTGGTCATTGTGTCCGCCTTGTCTCCTTTGTGTCTCGGTCACCGTGTCCGGCTTGTCTCCCTTCTGTCTCCTTTTGTCTCCCTTCTTGTTGCGCGGTGCCAACCTTGGCCTTGCAATCCTTTCCATGTGTCTCCCAGCTTTGTCTGCCTCTCGCTTGCAACCCTTCACATTTGTCTCCCAGCTCTGGACTGCTCTGCCCTGCAATCCTTTACATTTGTCTCCCAGAGCTGGACTGCTGTGTCCGCCTCTGCCTTGCAATCCTTTACATTTGTCTCCTTACATTTGTCTCCCAGCTCTGGCTGCTGTGTCCCCAACCCTTTACATTTGTCCTCGCAATCCTTTGCATTTGTCTCCCAGCTCTAGACTGCTGTATCCGCCTCTGCCTTGCAATCCTTTATTTGTCTCCCAGCTCTACGCTGCATGTCTCTTGCAAACCTTTACATTTGTCTCCCTGTGTCTACATTTGTCTCCCAGCTCTGGAATGCTGTGGCCGCCTCTGCCTTGCAATCCTTTGTCTCTCAGCTCTGGACGTCGCAAGCTCTAGTTGCAGAGTGTTCCGATTTTGAAAAAACACAAACTGTTTGGGCTCTACGGTGGTGTAATTCATTCTTTTACATTTTCTAGACCTCAGACAATTCTTCTTCCTTGTTTTTACTACACACAAGAATGGAACGCTTAATTTCCTTGTTGTTTATTCATTCCTGATCCATCAGACCATGGGCGCGGCCGAGTGTAGTGTGCCCAGACGAGTGGTACAGACCTAGCGAGCGCAAGATTGTAAAAACAGGCCTCGATTTCAACAAGCACTTGATGAGGATGAGTGGATTCAGCCTTTTTCATACTAGCACTTAAAGCAGTTGCTTGCTTGCAGGCTTTGCAGGTTTAGTTGACACTTCTTCAAAGCACACATCGAACGTCCTCAGTTTTTGTTGTTTTTGGCTGGTGATTGAAACCGACTGTTTGTATGTCTTGAAGGGCTGTGCTCAGCTCGGCCGTCGTTCTTACCGGGCTCAGAGAGTGTCTTAGACTATAAATTATGGTTCATTGAGCCCATGGCACTTGCTGATCGCCTGTCAGGATTGGCTTTTCTTGTCAACAGATGGGAGATGTTTTTTTTTTTGTTCAATATCGAAGTTGGAAGTTGGAGAATTCCCTTAAAGAACCCGAGCCAAGAAGTTGGTAAAGAACCCGAGCAAATCTGTAGCTTCCGCCGTGATTCCAGCTAGGCGCCTTTTATGCCGACCGGCCTACCCCACAAAGGAAAGAAGACAAGAGAATGAACACGAATAGTATTAGGAACCACGCCAATCATGTGCGAGCTTGTCAAAATGAACCCTGAGGAGAGAGCCGTCCAGGCACCTAGGTAGCTACTTGTTAGTTACTATATAGTCTTACAAACCATGAGTTACTTACTCAACACATGCCGGGCGCTGCACAGGAGATGACATGGGAAGCGCAGTTGGCCGGTGCCCTGAGCTCGCTGCTCTTTGTAGTCTTGAACTGCGCTCGGGCAACTCAGCCGGCTGGGAGATCCTAATAGCGACAGCCTCCAACCCACTAGCGATTGCCTGCAACCTAGAAGCGATGGCCTCCACTCTGTGCAACCCTGGTATATGGGCGCAAATGACATAGTTTAGAGGACTGCTGCCCCTCTCCTCTTTAGGAAAGTCTTCGCTTCGTCAATGCCATGAGGCCATGAATATATACACAAAGTGGCTATTTTCCCCAGGCGCACTTGCTCATGCAGGGATTGTGCTTGTGCGTTGGCAGAATGCAGCCATTTGCAACTTGTGAGCTGCATGTGCATAGAACCAACCCCATCATTGCATTGCATGGCTTTCACTTTTTTCCGGCAGCATTCTTGCTTTGATGATTGTTTCTTGACACTTGTATTTGCAGCTGCATGATTGCCAGGTAGTAGTAGACGTGTAATATTACAGTAAAGGGATTGCTTGTGGAGCCATGTCACAAGCCCAAGACGGCTTAAATATCCTGTCTAGCCGACGGTCGGTGCTCAGGGGGGTGGTAACTTTGCGCTTCCATGGACAATGCTTGCCGTGCAGCAGGCTGAGGCCACCGCCCAAGGATTTGCCTTGTTGGATGATCCACATCAGAATCATTCAGAATCCAATTTGATCTTTTTCCATAGCCCCGCATGGCCAGTCCTACCTGGTGCTGCAGCTTCTGCTTGCCTTCAAGGTGGATGTTTTATGGAGAGTGATCAACCAAAGTCTTTTTGTTCCTGTCACTGAGAGAGGGAGAGAGAGAGAGAGAGGGAGCCATGTGTTTCCACCAGCAGATGGCTGCAGAAAGGAGCGCACAGTTCCATAGGAGTTCTCTATTCAGGACCCAACTGGCCGCTTTGGCTGGGTGATGACGACCAGGAGCTTCTACCTTTGGGAAGACTTGCTTGACATGTTTCATTTCAAAGCAAGTTCAAACCACTACAACCTCTTCGAGTTCAGACTGCAGGCCATGATGCGTGGAGACGGTTGGCTAGATTGTTTGGCCTGCCCCTCCAAGCAAGAATATGCCCACGTTGTTGAGCGGTAGAAGAAAGAGACAAGAATGTACAGTAGATGAAAGTCCATGGGAGTGGAAGAAGGATGCCTAGCACAACCCATGAAATGACCCAAGCATATTGTGGAGGGGATAAGCAGATTTACAATCCCGAGAAAGCTACTCCTCGCTGACAGGAGCGCCTCCACGGTTTCGACCGTGCAACTTGTTGGCGGTGAAGAGGACTTTGGCAGTGCAGAAGCTAGCTAGTTGGTCAACAAGATGTTTGATGGATGTGCTAGGTACTGACGCTATTTTGCCACACAAAAAAATTGTGTGTCCCCCAGTCCTTCAGTAACAAACCAGTTGTGCAACCCAAAGGGCCCCTAGCGGGTTTCGAGAGCGTGTTCATCAATTCAGCTTGCAAGCAACTCAACATTCCATCACACAGCACAGTCTGAGCCCATTCCTTTGAGACTCAGACATTAGGACCGTTCACTGAGGATGCACTTGAACATTTCAACTCCTCTAAGTTGTTTTACAGTATCCCTTTTCTAAATTTGAGCTGGTGACTTTTGTATAGTGTGGCGTGTTAGTTGTTCCTTCACGCGCTTGGATGTGCTGCTTTTCTCGGTGGGCATCGCTGTACCATGGCTCTAGAGGCTTGCCTGGTGCTTAGTGCCAGGTAGTCATAGGACACGCTGATGTACCATGTACCAGCCTATGGCCTATACAGCTCTTTCTGGGGTGAAGATCGATGTGTAGGTTTAGCTGAGCTTGGAAAGAAGAAGGAGAAGAAGAAGAAGCAGTATAACTCTTGGAGAGATAAGACAGCGCTTGGTGGAGCACTTTGCTGCAAAGCAATGGAGACAGAAGAGACACCACTGGTGAAGGAACAGGTGCGAGCTTACTGTAGTCAAAATTACAATCTGCGACATCTTCATGATTGCTAAAGTACTGAGCTGGCCCATGGGCTGCAGACTCTTGTTTTGATTCACAACCATGCTCTATCAGATCAGCATCAGTTGGGTAGCAGCACGGAAACACGACGTGGGGCATTTCTCATTGAGTTCATGTGGTCTCCCATGAGTCATAGTGCTGTTGTGTCCAGGCCACTCGTCATGGCAACAGCAACATGCTGCCATTGGTGCTGATCAGCTCCTTATATTGCTGTTCAGGAGCGCGAAGAGCTTGCAGCATGGCCTGAAAGCTCAAAGAGAGCAGCTATACAACGACTTCATGATGCTAATGCTACTTGTATTTTGTTTTGCAACCAAGAGGGAATTGTGAAGGCTACTTATCACTGAGTCAACCGACTTGTTTTTCATGACTTTTCTCCAACTGTTTTCATTGTACACTCAGAGCGGCAAGGGTACTCACCTGAGTCAGAGACTCTTGTGCTTGCACTCCCTGCAGAAGAGACTGGATTTGCTTATCCCTAAATACGGACCAGCTGGTTGCGCGTATTGGCCTCACAGACTCTTGTGGACCTGACCAGGAGCCTACACTACGGCCACAGTCTTCACTGGTAGTTTCATTGCGCTTGAACCAGGCTTCAGCGAGAACTGGGTGCACATGGGCACCTTGGCAAACTCAAGTATCACATCAATTTTTTGGCAAGGGAAGTGTGCACCCTTCAGGAGACTTGACAACAGGCTGGATTTTGTTAGGGTGGACTATCTATCGTCGCCAGTGTACAAGCAAAGAACATATTCTAATATATTATATATTATATATAAGTCAATCTGACTTTCTTTAACCTTAAGTTTCCCTAACAATCTAGGAACCAAATCATTAGTGCGAGCGCTTCTTCAAGCAAGGGGGAGTTTCCTTGAAAAAGTGCCAGCTATCCTGCGTCCTGTCGGTAGTAGCTTACTTGCAGCTACTAGCTACCAACCCCCCGGGCAAAAAACAAGTGCTTGTCGCTCTCTTTCACATTTTCTCCGATTTCTGAGGTCAGACCATGCTCTGGATAGGAGTAGCTGCAGCGACGGCCACCTTATTGAAGCTCGTTGATGCAAAAGGACCAAGAAACATTGGGTACAAAGGCACAAAGGCACAAAGCGATATGATATGATGATGTACAGTAGAAGGCATTTGCTAAGGCTTGTTTGCAGCTTGAAGCTGTTTGAGCCTTCATGCTTCATGTCTGAGGCCCTTGCTTGACATTTATGGACGACGAGATCTTCTCTTTGCGTTTGGTTTTGTTGGCACCTTGCCATCTAAAGTGCTCCTTTCAAGCCAACATGCACCACCAATGACATCAATGACACGAATGACACCACTTCACCCCACCGAAATTCTTCAAAGGTTTCTGATGGTAGAGACATTCCAGAGACGAGTTTCGGTATACAATCGGTGCCCGGTGCGCTGTGCCCAGGTCTACTTGCAGTGGTCACTTCACTTCTGGCTGTCTCTCCCTTTGTCTATTTAGCATGCCAATTTGGGTGGCTTGGCCAGGTACTGACACGGGAGTGAAGAATGGTGTTCTGGCGAAAAAGAGTCTAGAATGTCTAGTTTGGTACAGTTTGAGCGAGCGCTTCCGTCACAAGTAGAACCACTCAAAACTTAAAACATGATTTTTTTGTTCATGCCCTGTGCTTTCTTCATGTTTCAGTCACAGGAATCAATGCCAGTAGAAGTATATAATTGGGCTAGACTTCATTGAGTAGCTGAGGTAGCACACGGACCCACTCGCACAATTGTTCTTGCACTATTTTGCACGTGATGTTTGCTGTTCTGGAGAGTTGATTGACTATGGACAGTCTTTTAAATTTGCGCTGTGGCTGGCAAAGACCCCAGGATTGGCTTATTCCTCTTTCCGACTGGCCTTGCTGCATGGGTCTTGGTCGCGGACGGGGCAGCCAGCACTATCTTTGAGTATCGAGCAAGCAAACTGCAGAGTTCAGCAGAGTTTCCCTCTACAGCCATGACTTGCTATGAGGTTGGAGGCCACTAGGTTGGAGGCCATTGCTATTAGGTTGGAGGCCATTGCTAGTGGGTTGGAGGCCATTGCTATCAGGTTGGAGGCCATTGCTATTAGGTTGGAGGCCATTGCTATCAGGTTGGAGGCCATTGCTATCAGGTTGGAGGCCATTGCTATTAGATTGGAGTTGGAGGCCATTGCTATTAGGTTGGAGTTGGAGGCCATTGCTATTAGGTTGGAGGCAATGAGTACAGTCATGACTTGCGCACCATGTTTGCACTTTGCACAACCGGCACAACATCCGGAGGAGAGCATTCCGCAGAGGTCCCACAACCGCATGATGGCGATTTGGAATGTGTGTTCCCTGACTGCAACCTCTTGGACCTTCCAAGAGTCCATGACAAGCATAGTGAACTGTTTGTATCATCTCGGTCTAGTATATATGAATCCATCATGCAGAGCGCATGTAGTGTAATTATCGTGTAGGACTTCGGATGAAGTTGTGAATACCCCGTGTGAATACCGTGTGAATAATAGCACACTGTCATGGTCAAGTCATGGTATCCCAGAATCTTTGTGATTCTTCATTCTCACTACCCTGGTGAAAGTCCCCGGCCATAGGGCTGTAGGGGGTTTAGCCGCTCGCATTGGTGTTGCACACGTGGGGTTGCATGGAAATCCATATCATTCAGACATACGGCATATAGGATCTTCTATGATCCGGCACAATAATAGTAACATTGCTTTTGGTTGACCTGTACATGCCACCAGTGGTTCCCAAAACAAGGTACCGGCGCTGTTAAAGGCCTGGTGCAATTTGAACTTGGTTTCAGTTTGTGGTGGGTTACGTGGCAAACATGTCTTTCTCAATACATAGACATAGGTTGTGACAGAACCCGTGTCAAAGTCTTTTAACGCACCCACATGCCACAAGTCAAGGAGTGTCATGAGTGTAAAACGCGAAGAGATCTTCTTCAATACCAGCACGGAACTCCTTCTGCGGAAGGGCCCTTGACTGTCGTGAACCTTCCGTGTCAACTTTAAGAGGTCTCAATGGTTGTAGCGCCATGTAGCGGCAACAGTGTTTGTAGCGCCCAACCCATCTCCCCCCTGTCCACATACCCACCCAAACAGGGACTGGCGTGGTGTGTACAACGAACGTTGTTACCCCCCTCCCCATCCCCCCATCCGATATATCAACAACCCGATGGCGACAACTGAAACCTTTGTGGTGCTTTCCAAACAATCCAGAAGTTTGTTACTAGTAGCTTCTTGTTACTACTAGTAAGGCACTTGTTACTAGTAGCGATGCACTTGTTACTAGTAGCTTCTTGTTACTACAAGAATATTTGCCTCACTCTTCAGCTTGGGGCTCCCAAACTTGTCTGCCCAATGTGCTTGATTCAGTTTTTCTTTAAGCGCCCTTCTCCACTTCCAGGCTACTCATTGTTCGGAATCACGGTGGCAGCCCGGAGTGAATCGGAGGGTGGTAGGCATCAAAAGTGTTGTCCACACGATGTCTCTCCGATTTCTCTAGCTTTACTTTTCATTTACATGGCGCAAGAGATGCTTTCGGGACGCATGAAACTGACATCTGTTTGCATCTTATGGGAAGACTCCAGATACACAAGTGCAAGCGCCCAAGCAGTGGAACTAGAAGCTCTGAAGTACTCTAAGAAGCTCGACAAGCGCACCTTGGGATTAAGTTTCTCCACCAAGCGAGGGACTGATTTTGTGGCTTAGCAGGGACAGCGGTCAAGCAGTGTGCTTTGCAGTCCCCATGAAGCTACTAGGAACAAAGACGCTACTAGGGGCTCGTGGCATCGCTACTAGGAGCAAGTACGCTACTACAGGCTCCTGGCCGTACTATTCCTGACGCTTCGCGTCGACCGCCGCCCACACCTTCTTTTTTTTCGGTCGCCTGGGGAAAGACTGCTGGAGTGGACAGGGGAGGTCGGGAGTGGTGTCCAAAGAGATGGCTTGTTTGCCGCAGCATTTTGGTAGAGCAGAGGGTGTAGAGGACACATTATGTCGAAAATTTTTGCACATGACAGTATTTCTATGGCCATGTTGCGGCTGAGTTACGCACAAGTTCGCTCGTTTGGTGGCCATGTTAAAGCCTCCAAGTTCGACCGTTTTGTGGCCTTGCCCCCGCTTGGATAGTCCACATTACATCATGTCAAGGCTAGCTTGATCGTTTGTTGACCATGTGTTGAGGCTACGTTGTTTTTGTTTTGCAATAATGCTGGTTATGCGTTGCTGGTCAGGAGGGTTTTTAAGCATCGTGGGCCGTGGGTGTCCGTTTTTTGGGTTGTTTGGGTTGTTGCAGAAATGTCGCAACGAAGCCCAAAAAATAATCCAAAAATGTACCTCCAAAACGCTCTCCCCCATGGCCCTCGAGGCGTAAGACGTTTTTCACCGAACCCCCCCCCTAGCAGAGCTATGAATTGATTACGGTGTGATGATGACGATGATTCCAGCCTGACCCGCCCCTAACACGCCCTGCACCGCAAGCGGTGTGGGCGGATTTTGGAAGCTATGAAATGTGCGCAAGCCACGGAAGCTTTTGCTAAGGCGTCCGGCAGCTATGGCTTCAAGGAAATATCACTGAGTTGGCAATTGCAAAGCGCTGTGTGGTATTTGCCCATTGCGCCTGGGCGTGTGCTAGAACTGTGGTACATGCTTTCGTTCCATGAAGCAACACTGCTTTCTTCAGGTTGTGCGGATTTTGTTTTGTGTGGGTTTGGAGCTGACGGTGTGTAGTATTACTCTAGTACGTAGTATAGCAGTATAGCATAATTTAATACAATACAATGTAATGTCATGTAATGTAATATTACATTGATCTACTTCTACTTGAAACTCCATCGAGCTAGCACTTCTGGGAACCCTTGGACAGCCACTGGCAGGATTCGCATGGATCAAGAATGAGTATGATCAAAGCCCATCATGCCACAAAGTGTGGCCCCAACGTATCAAAGAATTTCATTTGACTGTCGGAAAACTACATGGCTTGAACTCCCGGCTGCACCATTGCCACAAGTAATAAACTCTTTCAAAGGTAGTGCAGCATTCTGCAGGTTTTCCCTCGTAATGGTGACCCGCTCATGAACTGCCAGGTGCTGAGCCTTTTGATTGGGCCAAGCGTTGTCTCTGAATCTCCAGACACTTCGCTGAACGAAACATGCTTACAGGAATATTGGCATATACTACCAGCATCATCAGCGTTGGGAAATGACCAGAAGAGGTAGCTAAGATCTGTCTATACCTACCTCCTACAATCATCAAAAACCAATGAATTGGAACTGATGACTTGGAACTTGGAATGATACTACACAGGAACCGCAGCTAACTCCCATGTCACAAGTCAGTTGGGTTTGGATACATTGCAGCCCCTTCGGCTTCTTTGTGTGAATGTGCCGATTGTAGTCCTGGGAACGGTGGACGCGGCCTGTTTATATATATATAATCAAGCAGCTTGAATCTGTGCTTCAACGGTGCTGTATCAAGTGAACTTTCACCTACCAGTTGCTCAAGGGGGACTGTGCACTTTCACCTGCTCAAGTTGGTAAGTGCCACTCTCACGTTTAGGAGCCAGGTGACATGGGACTTAGGATGCATACATAACCTTGC